TCCTAATACAACCGAATTAATGTAAATTAATGTAATTCTGCCTAAATATTAAATAAAATAGCCAGAATTATTAATCCTGATACGATCCTGATACAATCCTGATCCATAATTTAAATATAAAACACAGGGGTGATATTTAATGTCATAATGCATCAATATTTATTAATAATTACATTCAATTATAAACTATAGAAATTCTTCGTTATAACTGAAAAAAAATTCGTTATAAAAAAAATCCGTTATATCGAGAGGCATTTTTATATAAGAAATTCACACACTTTACTTAGTACTACGTTATACAGTAAATAAATAGTAAACTTCATTATATCAAGGTTTTTTTCATATTTAAAATCGGTACCACACTGTATGATCTGTTATATCGTGTTATTCGCTATATCGAGGTTCGCTGTAGAGAGGGGTGACTGTATATGGAATTAGTTTGTATTACAATTTTATTACGATTTGGGTAAAAAAAATATCTCCTTAAAATTTATTTTTTTTCAGGTATCCTGGCTATATGGAAAGATTCCTAATATGGTAATAGTACAATACACCTTATACGCCATTTTGCAAATTTAGTGTAATAGTTTACAAAGAAAAAAAGAGGAACGTATTTATTTTTTTGCCATGAGAAATTTAATTACAATAAGTGAATTTCAGAAAATCGCGGTAATTTGAATAATTTGTATATGCTTTTGATAACGGGTTTGAAGTTTAGGTATTCTCTGGCCACACTCTTGTATTACTATGATCACCGAGAGTTGGCTTGCTTATATAATAATCTTATCATTCAATATTTCCTAAAAAAAGTAAATAAACATCATCTATTTATAAGTATTCATGATTTGGAAAAACTCCGTATGAAGTTGTGAAGATAAATGATACTTGAATCAAGTACTCCATAGCAATTATCTTTTTTCGTACACTGTATTACATTTTTACAAAGTACAAAGCGTACAAAGCCAATACCAAATAGGCAGCTGTTTTCTATACTACGATAATATTAAATAAACACACAAATTTTTTTTAAAGATCGTACAAATATCGGTGACCGATATATATTAGATAACGGATCGGTGACTAATAGTTTGGATATCGAACACTTGGTAATTTACATTTTTTTAACCATATTTGAAATTTGCGCATTATGTGACAAATCAGGTACCCGATATGTTGTTAATATGTAAAAATGCCCGATATGTACCTAATTAGTCACCGATATATAGGTATCCGATATGTGTGAGATAGATCGTTTTTTAACCTGTGATAATGAAGCGGATCATAGGATGGATGCAATTCTGATATCCTCTGGAGACCTTCATCACGTAATCTGAGAAGAATATCTCGATTAGATGGATCCACATCATAACCATCACCTATCATAATTGCTGCTACATCAGAAGCTGTAGGAGCATTATACCGACGGGAATCTTTTGTTTGATCACTATGAATAAGCATTGAAATTTCAGTGGCTTCATTTGCTTGGATGACATCTCTTATTTGATGAAAATTTTGAACATATGGATTGTATTCATCTAACATATCCTGCAAGTTCTGTAGAATATTTACATCCAAATTCTGCATTATATTATGTCTGTTTTTATTTTGATTTTCAGTATCATAGATATACAGTTGGACAAATATCGGAGTGTGATCTTCCTTTGGCAATAATAGTTCAATACAATGGTAAACTTGGCCATGGATATAGTTGCTGCCGAAATTATTATTACAGTTACGGCACGTGCTATAATCACCGTAATTAAAAACCGTAAACCGTAATTGCTGTAATGCCGTAATGCCGTAATTTAACTTAACGCCATAATGCCGTAGTGTAATATGCCGTAAATAAATAAGACTAAACTTAATTTCAGCCGTTCGTAATGCCCGATCAACTTTTTTTAGCGTTATATCACGTGACATTACACCAATTTCCAAAAAAGGAAATTTTGTCCCTCAATAAATCAAAGAAATGGATTGCACAAGGTTACACAAGGTTCTAAAAAAGGAGATCTTTTTGCCGATCATTTGGTATTATTCAAGTCATGTGATCATAATTAATTACGGCATTTTATTACGGTTATGGCATTATTTACGACATATGCCGTAATGCTGTAATGCCGTAATTAGTGAATTTTGACGGCACCTATAGTCATGGATCTGAAAATTGAATACACCTTTTCTTTGGAATTCCTCATTTATTTTGGCACCAAAGAACGTGCATGCTAAAAGGCTGTTGTAACCTCTGATATTTTTGTGAAATGTATTTGCATCAGATCTTGACGAAGTGTACAGGTTTAACAAATATGGTGGTGGTTCAAGTAAAGGTTGTAAATTAACTTTTCCACCTGCACAGCATATTGCAAATGCTGAAGATACACGGCTGCTGTTACGAATTCTTTCCTCTATCCAAAATTTGGCATCACAATGGATGCAGGTTTGTTCTATATTTTTTAATTCATGGCGTTCTTCTCTTTTTTCTGTACAATTATTCTTTTGCTTTTTCCTGAAATGACTCACTCTTTCCTTGCATAATCTTTTTTTACGTTGATCTGTTGTTTCAGACATTTTCCTGAAAGGTTAAATGGCAATTGACTATTTTATGCGTTATAAAAGCATTATCGTGTTATATGAAAGAACACGTGAAGCAGTTTCTCACACATTGACATTATTTTCGCACATATTAGTTACTACCATTAAGGAATTATTTATTCATTATATACATGCTGCCCAAATTATTTTAGGATGCTATAATTATAATTTGGGATGTCGTAATTTATTTAATTTATATATAATTTACTATGTAAAGTGCCAAAATAATTTGGGATGTCATAATTGAATTTGGGATTTTACTTATAATTACGGCAGCCTAAAATAATTTGGGTGGCATGTATAATTCATTATATGATATTATCAAAGGTAAAATTGGTTAAATTTTTTTTGATCAATCAATTTTCATAATAATTTTTATTAATAATTTCAATCTTGTTAATTAAATTCGATAATGATTGTTACAGCCAGCTTATTTGAAATTAAAAGGTTAGCAAATTGTTGAGATTAATTGCAAGATTTCAAATTGTACAAAGAAGAATATGTGAGACAAAAAAATGTAAAGAATAATTTTCAAGTTATTGGGAAATTAAAGGAATTTATTAACATTTATATTAATATATTTAATTAGCCGTTACTACAGTCAAAACAAATTTCTTCACTATAATTAATTGTTATCAATTGTCCTATCACTGATTTTCGCTAAATATATAAGAAATTGTTAATTGAATTTAATGAAAAAGAAGTTGCAGTACGTAATGTATTAGCTATCATATACACAAAGAAATATAATAAATATAACGAACCCTAAATGTAAAATGTAAAAATTAAATAATTTCTTGGGTTGTTGGCAATTGATATATATATTACATAATATAATAATACAGTTAAATTATTTGATAAATTTGCTAAATTTTGGCACTTTAATTTTAGGCAAAAATCATAATTCTTGTTAACGTACGCACTGGCCGGAGTTAAGTTTAACGCTATCACGTGCAAGTGCATAACTCCTAAAATCTGGTTCGCACAGTGCGTATATTAAGGAACTCACAAAATCATAATGCTGGCCGTAATTCTGACCATAATTGGTGATTAGTACAAATTTCCTAATATGGAATTTGTAACCTTGTGTAATACATATCTTGGGTTTTGTTGGAAAAAAATTTCTTTTTTAGGAAATAATGTAACAACACGTGGAAAATTTATTTATACAGGGTAATCTAAACGTTACGGTTACACAATTTTTTTTAATTATATAGATTAAGAAACAATAACACAAAAAAAAGAAAAAAAAATTTTTGGGTTGTTTCTCAATTTATTTAAGAAGGAATGAAATAATCTTGAAAATGGCATAATTGTTAATAGTGAAGTTATTTGCGATAATAGTATATAAAGTTAAGTTGAAGCTTGCATTGATGCAAATGAAGACCAAATCAAATATTAATTAAATAATAAAATATATGCATTTTTGACTCCACTTCCCAAAAATAAAAAAAAATTCATAGTTTTATTATAAAATTTACAAGTTATATTAATAAAACTGACCACCATTACTTATGCCAAAGTCTGTATATCTATTTTTGATTTATTAAAATACAGTTTAATCTAAAACTTCAAGCAATATATTCTTAACTTGAAAAATCTAAATTTATAATTATTTTAAGACAACTTTAATTTATAAAAATATCTAATTTTATTATTATTTATTATTATCAAATTTCTAATTTAAAATTGTTGAGCTGCTTGTTTGATATTTTTCTGCCATCCAATTTTCACTACTCCTAATTTTTGCAATTGATCATCTGATAAATCTTTGATTACATTTACAGTGATTTCTTCTTCAAGAAAAGCATTCTCAAAGTTAGAATATACATTACAGTTATATTTTTTATCTAAACTATTGAGAAATTCACCAATTGAAGGTAATGTATTTGGTGATGTTAAATGAATACCATTTGTATTATTAAAATTACTTGATGTTAACTGGTCTTGAAAAGTGCAATTTGGATAAAATTGTGATGGTAATTGGATAATAATAGTAGTAGAGGTAGTAGTAGGTAATGTTTGACTTACTTGTGTTTGTAAAATCAAATTAGATATACTTGATTTTACATCAAATGTTAGATAAGATGGAGGTACTTCGTAGGTAGCTCCTTTATTTATCTAAATAAAATTTTCACATCTTTTATTTGAATTTATAAATAAACAATATTTACATGAAAAAACCTACTATTTCTTGTGCCCAAAGTTGTAATCTAGCAGGATCAAGCTGTAAATGCCAATTATCTTGAATAAAACATGGTGTTGCGTGTACATTACATCTATATATTTCACATAAAGTAGAAATAACTTCAGATCTTGTTTTTTCTTCATTTGATAAATCTTCTTCACAAATGGCACGTAATTTTTTCTTTTTTGTATATTGTAGTTCTTCAGCAGAAGAAAATCCACTTTCATCAGAACTCTAAAAATTATAAATGTTAAAAATTGATTCGTTATATTACATAGTATATTGTATATAAATTTACCTTATTATGAAGCTTTTTTTTCTTTGTTAAATTATCTCTTACAGCTACTATCATTGACATTTTTTTGCCATCTAGAACTATCCTTTTATATTCACCAATAAATCTTTGGAAATCCAATTCATCCTTAAGTTCATTTGAGGGTCCATGTACATTTACTGCTTTGTATGATATAACATAATCCTTTGATGTAATTTTTTCTCTCAAAGTTTTTTGAACTACCAAATTTACTTTTTCCATGGCATTTTTATAACTGGTAGGTTCAATATTCAGAGTTTTTGCTATAGGTACTTTTATATTCTTACTTTTAACAATTATCTGCACTTTTACCTCATCTTCAACTTCTACATTATCAATATCTTCTTCCTCATAAGTATCACTACTTACCAAAGAGATTGTTTGATGATCCCCTACTTTATCATCATTCTCAGCATCTTTTTCATTTGATAAATTATTTAGAGCAACTTTTTTCTTGTCAGCACTTCTATGACGTTGAATTTGGCTATTACAGGCGCTACAAAGGGTGAAAGAAAATGTTTTTTCAAAATTACTGTTATAGCCAAACTTGTCATTGGCATCAGACATATATTTATTTGCTTTTGGAAATGAAGAATCTGGAGTAAAAGTGCGTTGATATATTTGTTGTCCGCGTTTTGGGTGTTTAGTTCTTGATGGCTGTTTATTTTTATCACATTTACATGACTCTTCTTGTGGAAACTCAAAACAATACAAGCATTTTTGACATGAGTAACATGCGCCTAGAAGGTATTTACAATCAAGATTTGTCATTTGAATAGTTTTAAACGCGAGGAATTACTCCAACCTCTTTTTCGCGTAGTTTTCATTATAATTCTAAATCTGGAAAGCAATCATGAATTAGTGAAACACAAATAATTTGGCCAATAATCATTCAAGGAAAATTGTGACAAATCACCTGATCACCCAGTTACTGATGCGGTCAGCGGTCAGTCAAGCCGATCTACAATAAACATAAAAACAACAACTACGCCCTGATAAGCTATTATGGATATATAACCTGATTGGTTATACATTTTTTCGAATCCGATACGATCTAGAAATGAACAGGGCTACTAATTCGAAAATAATGCGGAAATTTAATCATACCATTTTTTTTATTAACTCATTTAAAAACGTAATTTTTAAGGATAATTCAGTAATTTTACATTTGAAAATGCAAAAAAAAAGCCAAAAAATCAAAAATTGGTGTACATTACTAAATCATTAAATCTTTTGAAGCAAAAATCGCATGATTTGGATGAAAAAAACGGAAAGATATCGCATAATCGCATTTTAAAATTGCCAATTAGTAATTCTTTTCGTCAATATTACAAATTTGAAAATCGTTGTCGATGCTTGTTGCTAACCATACTATTATCTCACTGCCCACATAAATTACTTATTACGGTAAAACTTCACTTGTGGGAAAACTAGTTGAAATAATAGATGATGTAAATTATAAATTTGGTAATTTAAACATAATTTAAGTATATTTCGTATTTGGCATATTTTAAGTAAAAAAAGTAAATTGTATGGGATTATGATATAATACTGATTTGTAAGTATAGGTTTTGTAAAATTTAGTCCTTATGCATGATTTACTGGTTAAAGGATAAGTCCTTAAAATAATCAATCTTTTCCTTGTTGTTAAGCTAGCATGAGAGTTGATTTTCATACGATTTATTCCACGTGAAACTCGCTAAACGTAATGAAAAGAAGAATCAAATCATTTTTGGCGCAATTACATCATATTCCACCCAAACGGTTTCTAGAATTTGCGAAAAATCCAGAATTCGTGCAAGTATAAAAACACTTGAATTTGGGTCAACGATAAAAAATTTAAAAATACGAAAAACTAAAAAAAATGTCTATTATCAATTACGGCTGGGATTTAGATAACAGTATTAATCGTATTTTTGATGATTTTATTAAAGATTTGAACGTGGCCAGACGTGGTGGAAATCGCACTGGAGTTACTAACTTTAATCCTGCAATTGACGTTCATGAAAACGAAAATGAATTTAATATCATTGCTGAATTACCAGTACGTATTTTTTTTTTCAAAAAATACTTTTTTCTCCCGTTAAAAATATACTAAAAGCAATATATTTTTTATAATTTTTATAGGGATTGAAAAAGGATCAAATTAACGTTGATATTCGTGACAATGCTCTAGTAATCTCTGGTGAACTCAAGCAAGATGAAAAACATAAAGAAGGGAATACTCATATTAGAGAACGTCGTTATGGTTCCTTTACTCGTGGTATTTCACTCCCGCCAAATGTTAAGGGCGATGATATCTCTGCTAAATTTGAGAACGGTCTTCTTGAATTGAAGCTTCCTAAATCCGCTCCCACTGGCAAGAAAATTACCGTACAGTAAAAAGAACGTTTAGATTAGTATAATTATCTATATTATATATAGCAAGTTTAGCTAAAATTTGTTTATTCATTTGTAAAATTTACCATTTCCTATAAGGTAGTAATTAAATACTATAAATAAAGATTGAGATCGTTTATGCAATATCTATCATCTCGTGATATTTGTGATTTGAAATTAGGTAATTGTATCACATAAATTCGCTATAATAATATGATAAAAAAAAAATCTATCTTTAATCACGTCCTTGACGTTTAGCCTTTTTTTTTTTAAAAAAAAAAAAATTCGGGTTTTTTTGAAACAAAATTTCTTTTGCCGTATCACATTTTGTCTGACTTTTTCACGTCCCTTTAAAGGGGTAAGCTTAGAGTTCAGCAAAAATTTATGATTGACGCTTAGTTATTTATAGAATAACAACAATAATAATAGTAGTTGGTGAGTAGTTATATATCAAAATTTTAATAAAAGTACAATTATAAGCATTTCTTTGCTAGCATTCGTGTAAAATTTTGCCTTTTAGAATTATTCCGGAAAGAAACGAGGATTGTGGAATTCGTTCATAAAATAACCAACTATATGTGAGTTTAAATTATAACGAAATTTTTTAAATTTGATTGCTATTTTCAATCACTTGAAACACCTTGCCTTAATTTTCTTTTCAATATTTTCGAAGATATTTTTACGTACTTTATATAAATCTTTCTGTAAATAACGAATTATGGCCCAAGGACTTCGTTTCGACGGACGCACTGTCATTGTTACAGGAGCTGGGGGTGGTAAGTAAAAAGAAGTTTTATCGCGGAAAAAAAAATTTTTTTTCTTTGAATCAAAAAACCATCGCAAAAACGATCCTTAGAAGTTTCACAAATGTATATAATGTATATTCCGTGTAACTTCAAAATTCGATCTCATTAAATTAGCAAAGGTGGCGCAGGAAATAGAATAACTCGTAACTCCTTTTTCATAAAGGTCTTGGGCGTGCATATGCTCTAGCTTTTGCATCTCGTGGTGCCAATGTTGTAGTTAATGACCTTGGCGTATCTCGAGGTGGGGATGGTTCATCTTCTGCAGCTGCAGATAAAGTAGTCGAGGAAATTATCAAAGCTGGTGGTAAAGCAGTTGCCAATTATAACTCGGTTGAAGATGGTGATAAAATTGTTGAAACTGCTATGAAAGCGTTTGGAAGGGTTGATATTGTAATTAATAACGCTGGGTAAATAAATATTATGATTTTTTATTGCTAAATTTTTTTATTAAAGTCGTTAAATTATATTATTTTGTAGTATTTTACGTGATAAATCATTCTCAAGAATGACCGATATTGATTGGGATCTTATTCAAGCCGTACACGTTCGTGGTTCATATAAAGTAACAAAAGCAGCTTGGGATATTTTCCGAAAACAAAAGTTTGGTAGAATTATTAATACGGCATCAGCTGCTGGCATTTATGGAAATTTTGGACAAGCAAATTATAGCGCAGGTGAGATAGATTTATTTATATCTAAATAATTTTATATTTATTTTAATAAAATTTTAAATTTTCATAGCTAAACTTGCCCTTGTAAGCTTCACTGAAACACTTGCTAAAGAAGGAGTAAAGTCTAACATCCACGCCAATGTGATCGCTCCAATTGCAGCTTCTAGAATGACAGAAACTATTATGCCACCAGATGTTCTCGCAGCTCTTAAACCTGAATATGTAGCACCTCTCGTTTTATACTTATGTCATGAATCTACTGAAGAAAATGGCAGTCTATTCGAAGTCGGAGCTGGTTTCGTTGCTAAACTCAGATGGGAACGTTCCAAAGGTGCTGTTTTCAAGGCTGATGATACTTTCTTACCAGGTTGTGTAGCCGCAAAATGGAATGAAATTACGGATTTTATAAATCCTGATTTTCCAGCTTCAATGGGTGATGCTGACTTTATCGGATTACTTGAGAAAGCAAAATCCCTACCCTCTAATCCAAAATCCGATGATCTTAGATTGGATGGTAAAGTTGCTGTTATAACAGGAGCTGGTGGTGGTTTAGGTCGCGCATACGCTTTGTTATTGGGAAAATTGGGAGCTTCTGTTGTTGTTAATGACCTTGGAGTGAGTACTCATGGTCAAGGATCTACTTCAAGTGCAGCTGATAAAGTTGTTGAGGAAATTAGACAAGCTGGTGGTAAAGCTGTTGCAAACTATGATTCCGTTGAAAACGGAGATAAGGTCGTTGATACTGCTATAAAAGCTTTTGGACGTGTAGACATTATTATAAATAATGCTGGTATATTGAGAGATAAATCTTTTGCCAGAATGACAGATCAAGATTGGGATTTAGTACAAAAAGTCCATTTGCGAGGAACCTACAAGGTTACCAAAGCAGCTTGGCCTTATCTTACAAAACAGAAATACGGTCGTATAATCAACACCGCATCTTCTGTCGGTTTATATGGTAACTTTGGTCAAGCTAACTATAGCACAGGTTAGAAATCAGTTTTATTCAAATATCAGATGTTAGGAATATACTTATTTAACATTAATTACTTTTTTTTTTGTTTATATACAGCAAAACTCGGAATCTTAGGATTCAGTAATACTCTTGCTTTAGAAGGACGCAAAAGTAATATTCTTGTCAATACAATTGCACCAAATGCTGGTACTCGCATGACTGCTACTATATGGCCACCAGATATGATCGAGGCTTTTAAACCTGATTACGTTGCTCCATTTGTTGGTTATCTCGCACATGAGGCATGTCAATCAACTGGCAATGTTTTTGAAGTAGGGGGTGGCTGGGCTGCTCAAGTACGTTGGCAACGTGCTGGCGGAGTCGGTTTTCCGACATCTAAAGCTTTATCTCCAGAAGATATTGCTTCGAAATGGAATGCAATAACCAATTTCGATGATGGGCGTGCCACCCATCCAGCAGCCACACAAGAAGCACTACAACAATTCTTTGAAAACTTTGCTAATGCACAAAAAGCTGAATCTGGACAATCTAAATCCGGAAGTAGTGGTAAAATTGATGTAGAGGCTGCAAAAAAAAGAAAATTTGAATCTAATGTGTTCGAATATAAAGAGAGAGATGTAATTCTTTATGCTCTAGGGGTTGGTTCAACTCGCAAAGATTTACAATGGGTATATGAAAATAGCGAAAATTTCTCTGTTATACCAACATTCGGTGTCATTCCAGCAATCAATTTATTACATATTTTTCCAATGAATGAAATTCTTGGCGATTTCAATCCGGTATGTTCAATGTTAAAATCTCGTAAATTATGATAATTATATTTAATTTAACAGTAAGTTATTATATATATTGTAGATGATGCTTTTACACGGTGAACAATATCTTGAGCTTAAGAAACCAATTCCTACTTCTGGAAAATTGATATCAACACCATATGTTATTGACGTCCTTGATAAAGGAAAAGGAGTATCATTTGTTTTTGGTGTAACTACCGCGGACGAAAAAGGCGAGATTATATTTGAAAATCAGATAACTTTATTCATTCGTGGGATTGGAGGTTTTGGTGGCAAAAAGAACGGTGAAGATCGTGGTGCTGCTACAGCTTCAAACAAACCACCAAATCGCGCCCCAGATGCTGTAGTACAAGAGAAAACAAGTGAAAACCAAGCTGCCTTATATCGTTTAAGTGGTGATTATAATCCATTACATATTGATCCTAATATGTCCGCAATGGGAGGTTTTGATGTTCCGATTCTTCATGGAATGTGTACTTATGGTATTTCCGGAAAACATATTTTGTCTACATTTGGTAAAAACGATCCAAATACTTTTAAAAGTATCAAAGCTCGATTGGCTGCACCGGTATTCCCTGGTGAGACGCTCGAGACTCAAATGTGGAAGGTTAGCATTTTTATTTCTCAATTGAAGTAATTAAGGTAATTTATTAATAAATATTATAATATAAATAGGAGGGTAGTAAGGTAATTTTTCAAACTCGTGTAGTTGAACGCGATGTTATTTGCGTTGCATCAGCTGCAGTGGAATTGAAAGATTCAGCCGATTTGGGAGCTAGTTCTGGAACTTCATCAGCTGCTTCAAGCGATAGTCTCTCTGTATCTGGATTCCAAGCATCATCAGTATTTGAGCAGCTCAAAGCTGGATTAAATTCTTCTTCCCCAGCAGAACGTCAGGCACAAGTAAAGAAGGTATGTAAATTATTAATTTTTAATTACGGAATTAAAACAAAAATAATTTTAATTTTCCCAATTTTAGGTAAAAGGATCCTTCCAAATAGATGTTACAAATGCAGAAGGCAAGAAACAATCATGGTACATAGATTTTAAGACAGGAGATGGTGCGGTTGGTGTTGGACCATCACCAAAGAAAGCTGATGCTATAATTGGAGTGAGTGATTCTGACTTCTTGGAGTTAGCAAGTGGCAAATTGAATGCACAGAAGGCATTTATGTCTGGCAAACTTAAGGTAAATTTGATGATTTCTCTTTTCATAAATAAAACACATACTTATATATCATTTATTTGATTAACAGATTAAAGGTAATATGATGCTTGCTACAAAACTTGGAGATATTTTGGCTGGAGGAAAATCAAAAGCCAAATTGTAAAAAATATAATAAATTCATTAAATTATAACTTTTATAATATAAAAAAAAATTATTTAAAAATTTGTGAATGAATATTTTGTTATATAATTTCATTATATTTGATTTAGTTCTTTTTATTTTAAATAAATATTTATATTTATTATAAATGTAAATTTTTTGGGTTGATTCTAAAATTGAAAAATGTTAATTAATAAATTTTAAGTTTGTAATTCTCAAAATTTTATCAATGTTTAAGGTTTATTCATATTTCAAACTTGTAATCTATATGCATATTAAAGCTTTAGTTTTAAGCTTGAAAATTTAGATACTTTTAGTATAAAGTTAGGGTTTTTATTATTTTAAATAATTGGTACATGACTGAAAATTCCGTTACTAATAAAATTAAATATACTAATGGTTTACTGGCGGATTACGAATTAAACAGTAAATAATTACAAATATGCAAATTTGAACATTAGCAACAAAACAACTTACATAAATTAAAAAAAGGTTCAATTTGGCATTTGTTCCGTTATTTTACCAAAAGCTATGATATAAATAGCCACTAACGAACAGAATAATGCTGCATTGTGTATAATTCTCTGTTAAATGATAAAAATCATATCACATGAGCGTAATGCTGAATTATCGGATCAAATTTTTATTGGATAATAAGAAATCAAAAATTTTTTTTTGATTGATTAACTGTTAAATCTGTTAATCAGTAACATTATAATTATAATTATTAAAATGGTAAAATCATATCTTCGTTATGAGCCTTGTAAAACGTTCGGTGTTATAACTAGTTCTTTATCGAACGCTGTATTTTCTGGGGACGATAAACTTGCTATCGCTCCGGCATTAGAAGACGTTGCTATATGGGATTTGAAAAAGGGTATTCTAGTATGTGTTAAACTATTCTTACATTATAATTTAGAAATAAACTGATTTTGTGTTAATTTGGTGGTTATTATTAGATTGGAAAATGGCATGATGTTGATAATAAGTCAGAAGTTATAGTAATAGCAAAAAGTCCAAATAAAATAGATTATGCCGTTGGGTTGAGTATTTATTTAGCATAATTGAATTTTGTTGAAATAACAATGAATTTGAATGAATTTGCTTGATTATTTAGATACGCAGATGGGTCAATTCGAATATGGAATATTGAGACATCATCATCTTCAATCATATTTAACGGTCATCGAGGAGCAGTTACTGCACTAACATTTGATAAGACTGGAACAAGATTAGCATCAGGATCAAAAGATACCGATCTTATTATATGGGACATTGTTGGAGAAGTTGGTCTTTATAGGTAAAAGAAGAGAAATATACTTAAAATATTACCACAAATTGTCTGACTTAACTCTATCAAATAGAATGCGTGGTCATAAGGATCAAGTTACTTCAATTCAGTTCATTTCGAGGCCTTTGTTGGGAGGTCATAAGTCTAAAGACATGACATCATCATCCGGGTATCTTCTTTCGTCATCTAAAGATACCCTCTTAAAATTATGGGACTTAAGTACTCAACATTGTATGGAAACAGTTGTAGCTCATCGTAGTGAAGTGTGGGATTTTGATATATCAAAGGATGAAAAAATGTTAGTGACTGGGGGTGAAGATGCTGAATTTAAAGTTTGGACTATAGATCATGAAGTTCTAGCTAAAGGGCTAGAAATCGATGATTCAAATAAAGAAGAGAATGAGGTACTCTGTAATTTAGTTAAATATTTCCGAGTTGATTGTATTAACAATTTAAAATAATAGATAAAGAAAACGATTCAATTTTTTGGAAGTGTTAAAAGAGAAGGGAAGGATCGTGTTGTTACAATAAAATTTCATCCAAATTCCAGTTTATTGGGAGTTCAGGGACCCGGGAAATCCGTAGAAATTTATCGTATTCGTACACATGAAGAAATTAAAAAGAAATTGTCGCGACGAAAAAAACGTCAGAAGGAAAAGCAACATAGAGACCAAGATGAAAATGATTTCATGGAAGTTAATGTTGAAGAGCAACAAATTCGTGCAGAAGATTTAATTACACCTTATCAAATTATTCGAACTGATGGAAAAGTACGGTCTTTTGATTTTTCAATGATTGAAGATAAGAATGGTTCGATACGAGTAAGAAAGGTTTTTATTATTTCTAATAGAACGTAATCAACGTTACTAACGGATTTTAATAGGTTCTCACATCTTTGACGAATAATATGCTAGAAGTATATACCGTAAATCTTTCGGACATAATACCATCAAAATTATATTCAATCGATCTTTTAGGTCACCGCAGTGATATTAGAACCTTATCGCTAAGTTCTGATGATAATTTATTGTGCTCAGCATCAAAAGGTGAATACAATTGATAAAAAAGTTGAATCTTTATGAATTGCGTTTTTATACACTTCATTATAGATACGCTCAAGATTTGGAATGTGCAGACCACTTCTTGCATTCAAACAATGGAATGCGGATTTGCGTTATGTAGCACGTTTTTGCAAGAAAATAGATATGTAAGTAATAATTTCTTTTGATATTTATATGCTATCTTGTTTATCAATTTTTGATAATAATTTGTAGGTCATTGTCGGTACTAAATCTGGCGATCTCGAATTATTTGACTTGGCTTCAGCGTCCTTAATAGAATCAATTAAAGCGCATGATAAGGCTGTATGGTCTTTACAAGTTAGGCCAGACAAAAAAGGATTAGTAACGGGAAGTGCTGATACGAATGTCAAATTTTGGGATTTTGACATTGTGGAAGAGAAACCATATGGCGAAGACGGGGTAGATTATATAATTATTATATATAATTTTAATAAATCATATTACTTATTCTTTATTACTATGTTACCTTAGCCTGTATTCAGACGTCTTACATTGGTTCATACTCGTACACTGAAAATGTCGGATGACATATTATTTGTCCGCTATAGTCCAAATCAAAAATTGATTGCTGTTGCAACGTTAGATGCAACTGTAAAAGTATTTTATAGTGACACTTTGAAATTTTTTCTGTCATTATATGGCCATAAAGTATGTTATCAACTGTCTAGATTCAAATTTACTCGTTTTACATCTATGTAACGTATTTTTTGGAATATAGTTGCCCGTATTGTCAATGGATATTTCTTCAGATAATAAATTAATAGTTACGGGATCCGCTGATAAGAATATTAAGATATGGGGTCTCGATTTTGGTGATTGTCACAAATCAATATTCGCCCATCAAGATAGTATTATGTTTGTGCAATTTGTCGCGAAAACACATCATATTTTTACGGCAAGCAAAGATAAGTTGATAAAATATTGGGATGGTGACAAGGTATATACATAATATATGATGCTTTCATGCCTTCAAATATTAATTAACATTTCTTTTTAGTTTGAAAATATAATGAAACTTGAAGGGCATCATGGAGAAGTATGGGCTTTGGCAATTGGCAAGCATGGAGACTTGTTAATTTCCGGATCTCACGATAGATCCATAAGGGTCTGGGAGCAAACAGATGAACCGGTATATTGAGAATTTTTGAACTTAGTTGAAATTTTTCTTTGCTATGTTAAACTAATGAATATTATTCAGCTTTTTTTAGAAGAAGAACGCGAGAAAGAATTAGAGGAATTATACGAGTCTACTTTAACCACCTCAATGGAAAAAACAACTCTTGAAGATAATGCTGTAGAGGTTTCATCAGCTGGTAAACAAACTATGGAAACTCTAAAGGCTGGTGAAAGAATAATGGAAGCATTGGATATTGCTGATGAGAATACAGCTTCTTGGGCAACATATAATGAGGCAATATATTTAGGATTCTTGTTTATTTGTTTATACTTATAGTGATGACTGATTTTTGTTTGTAATTTTAGCTTAAAGAACGGGGTAAAGATCCCGGTCCACCACCAAAATCTAATCCTATATTGGTAGCTTTAGGAAATCTCACTGGAGATCAATATGTTTTGAGAGTTATTGAGAAAGTGAAATCAACAGAACTAGAAGAAGCTTTGTTGGTTTTACCATTCACTAAGGTTATATCGCTATTACGATATTTAGACTTGTGGGCTAAGAAAGTATGTTATTCCTTTTCTTTGATAATAAATAGATTAACTATTTTTAGGTTCAAATTAATGACTTTTTCCTTGTAATAGGAAATAAATATTACATTGACATGTCGGATATTATTTTATCTTCTTAAAGTCCATCATGATCAAATTGTAGCGAATCGACTAATGAGACCTAGGCTAGATTCTCTAAGAATACATATAAGGACTGCGTTAAAACATCAAAAGGTACATAATTTTCTTGCTTTTTATATTATTGATTTAACGCGATTAACTTTTTATTTTAGGATTTGCTTGGATATAATTTGGCAGCATTAAAATATATCAAACGAGATTGGGAAGCTAATAGTACTTCAGAATTTTTCGACCCATTATTAGATAATGAATTAGAAGATGGCTCTTCCAAAAAGAGGAAATTTATTAATGTTACTTCTTAATTTATTTAAACTTTTAACTAAAAGAGTAAGCTTTATCTACTCATTTTTTTTAATGGTATACAATATAATAAATTATTCTGTCAAATTAGATCAAATTGTTTACTTTTTTTTAGAACTTTGTTTATCTCACTTATTCCATGTATTATAATTATGAAGCTACTTATCTTAATTCCGCAGAAAGTAAAATGGGATTTTCCAAAAGGTTTTTCCATTCCTGAGAAAATCTAGCTACGGTAGCTCCATCTATTACACGATGATCTGCACTAAAACTGACAGGGATGACATGCTTTCCAACTACTTTTTCAACTAATTGTCCTGTCACTTCATCCTTAACGTCTTCAAAACGTGGCACTTTTTGCAATTTACCGATTGCTGCAATACATACCTCTGAAGAAACGATAACAGGAGAAAGGGAAGTTCCTCCAATGTTTCCAATATTTGATAAAGTTATAGTTCCTTCTTGAAAATCATTTGGAGGAATTGCATTCTTTTCCCTTGCTTCTTGTAATCTTCGTATATCACTTGCAATTTCAAAAATAGATTTTGCTTGTACATTTTTTATATTCGGTACTACAAGACCTCCGGGTGTATCCATTGCAATACCGATATTATGTGATCTACGAAATTTTAGTTTTGCCGTATTTGCGTCATCATCATCAATAACACAAGCATTAAGAATTGGAAACTTTTTTAATGCAACAGAAAATGATTTAATGAAAATTGGCATAAAAGATATTTTGTTGAAGGAAAATTGATTATTTCTAGTAATATAATCATTAATTAAATTGCGAGAAGCAATTATATCATCCAATATATATTCATCCGAATATCCAAAATGCGGGATTTTTAATGAACGTGACATTGTCTTAAACATTGATTTTTGAATAAATGATAATGGAACGAGCTTATCTTCGACAACTTCAATATGAGGGTGAGTGGTTTTCGCAATTGTTTTATGAAATAATTGATAAAACTATGTTAACAAAAGAGTATATGCTTCAAAATATCATGTACATGAATTAAAATATAATTACTTTCTTTCGAAGGCTGAGCTTCCTTTCCTGCCGCTACATAATTCAGAATATTTTCTTTTGTTATGCGCCCATTTTTTCCAGTTCCTTTTATATTACTAATATCAATGTTATGCTCACGTGCAACACGTCTAACAGCTGGAGTTGCCAAGGTGTGAGTTTTTTCACCGCTAATTAAAGGCTCTGTTATATTGATTGATTGAACTTGCGCTGATGGTGATGGCGGTGAAACTTCTGAATTGATTAAACTTGACTCCAGCTCATTGGAACTATCAGTTTCTATGTCAACAATTGGGTTTCCAACTTTTGCCATTTCACCAACATTATAATGTAATTTCTTGATGACGCCTGTATAACGTGATGTGATTTCTACTGAAGCCTTGTCCGACTGAACTTCACAAATTTTGTCAAATTCTGAAATGTTATCACCTGGTTGAATAAACCTGATAAAAAACAAAAATCAGTAGACTAGAAAAATTAATAATGATTTCTAATAAATATACCAACCATTGAACTACTTCACATTCCGTTATACCTTCACCAATATCTGCCAATAAGAAAGGAACCACTGCATTATTTGGATATGAAGTGTGAAGATCACGAACATAATAAGTTGGATTGAATTTTTTTAAATATGGATTTGTAGGTAACTTAAGTTTTGTCGATAAGGAAGATGAACGTGACTAGTTAATATGAATAAGAGGAATTAATAGCATAAAAAAATGACTAATAAAATAGACTTACTTTTATAAAAATCGAATTACATTTCGTTCTTTTATTATTGACAAGCCTATGTGAAAAGTATTGGAAATTCTGGTTCAGCTAATTTGAATAAGAAATAATTACTTGTAAATTGAGTCATAAATGCAAAATTGCCCTATTTCTCGTGTTAAAATACTTGGCTTTACCACGTGTAAAATGTGGAAACACACCCTAAACACATTGAAACTTCGTAGAAACATCGTAGATAAAAGCTAATCTCGTTCGTTCGTGTAAGTTTTTTATGTGTTACGCGTATGGATCTGCATTAGGTAAATTATTCTACAAATTTGGAAAATAGGATGTAAATTGCTGTGGTTATAAATAGGAAATTAATTAACGTACAGATTAAAGAAAAACATCGGAATTTGTAAGTTTTCGCTATAAAAAGTATATTTCTTGTTCATTTTAAATATCAATTTTAACCGATGTCACTTTCATCGTTTGTCATTCCTAGAAACAGAAAAGTGCAATTTGAACTAGAAATTCTTATAGAAGAATTAGCAAATGTACCATTGGTAGCTGGTCTTTATTATATAAAATGGAAATTGAAAAATGGAAAAAAAACAAATGGTATAACTGAACGGTATGTATATATATTTTTATATCTTATTTTCTACATATAATATTTATCTAGATTCTGATAAATTTTAGGGCTTTAATTAAATATCATTCTATTGTCTGGCGTTATAAGTTACATAATTCAGTACAGATTGTTATTGGCAAAGATGGTGTTTTAGTGCCTTGTGAGCTAAGCATAAAAGTAAAACAGGTATATTTTTACCGGAACCATTGATTTTGTTTAAAATTTATATTTACAATTTGTCTAACCTTTAGGAATTAAATGGTGGAAAAGAAGTAAATAATATTGGGAAGTTATTATTAAATCTCTCAGAATATGTTGGATTGAATTCTATGACTCGAAGATATTTGCTGCAGGATAGCAAAATCAATTCCACTCTTAAAGTAAATATTTTGCGCATCATATTTGTAAATCTATTAATTTATATAGTTAACGTAATTAGTCATATTTTATTTTGTTTTAGTTGACAATTAATATGAAACAAACTTCTGAAAATATTGCTTTTAAAGTGTAAGTTGTCGGTTAATTTTTATTTTTAATTTCATTTGGAATCCAGTATATGGGGTATTTAAAACGTGTAAATTTATTTAAATTAAATAGACCACCTCTCAAGAAAACGCAAATGTTTGGAGGTATTGCGGGAATAATATCAGAACGTACTGAACGCCAAGATGATGAAAGATCAAGTTAGTTCATTCCAATGTGTATTTAGCATGTTTTCTTTCTAAATGTTATTTTTATTCTCAATGAGATTCGAAATTATTTAAAGTTAAATTCAGGCAAAATTTCGGAATACATTATATGGCACGATCTCGTTCAGCTACCTCTCTTGTAAGTATTTAATAAATATTTCGTTCGATTTAATATTATGTTAATACGAATTTTTAAGCTTAATTTCGCATTTGTAGAGGTCAGCATATTCACAAGCATCTCAAATAAGACCTACCACTTCATCGTTAGTTGCGAATTCTTTCCTTCGTAAAGTTGGCGACAAATCACCTACAGATGTCATAGACGAAATTTTTATGGGAACAGCTGTTTTACGCATAGATGATGTTATAGATGACAATAAATCCGACCATAGCGCTTTCTTTTAATTAGGATAGCAATCCTTTCTTCAATATGTGCAATATATTATAGAATAGAAATTTAATTTTAATTTTGTATTATAATAACTTTAAGCATTTTTTGAAAGAATTCGGATCAATGTAATTATTATCATGTTCATTTTCATAGAGTCTACATATAAATAAATTATTCATCTAAAGATTTTTAAAACTCGTATAGTCAATTGAATAAAACTAAGATAAATTTTGTTTGGCCAATAGTTGATACTATGAATAAATTTTTTGCTTTATACAATAGACCATTATCTTTTTTAACGAAAATATTAATAAAATATTGAACCCGAGACAAACCTATATGACTATGAAGTTTGATAATCTGAAGTCCCTTTTACAATTCCTTTCTTTATTCTTTTCAATGGTCGAATGCTTAGAAATAAGAAAAAAAGATCAACTTTTTAAAATTTGGTATATAAATTATTTTTCAAGACAAACTAAATTCTGGAAAAATTATTGTCTCCAGTAGAATTAATGCTTCATCAAAGAAAACATTAAACATAATTTCAAAAAAGTTTTCTCTGATTAAAAAGTTCATTATAAAAAAAAAAATAAATTAGGCTACAAAGATTTTTTATACAATAAATTGCTGAAATAATAATATAACAATACAAATTTATACTAATTGAAATAAATAATTAACTTTTAATAATTTCTTTGCAAATCAATATACTTCACTTATATTTCATGAAACAAACTTAATCCACATTTACTTTAAACACCTCATAATCCTCAACACAAAATTCACCAAATAAAATGTTTTGTTCGTAAATATTATGAGTTAAACATTTTGAACCCTTAACTTTGTCACAATTACTATAGATACAAAGTTCAGCTGCTCCAAATATTGGACCATATTTTGAAGATTGGTAAATAGCTTGATAAGTTTTATTTGGTAAAACTCTACTTAATTTGAAATTTAAAGGAAACATGTTTAAATCTAAATAATAAATAAAACTGGAATCAGTTGAAGATGGTGATCCACTACTTGAAAACCATCCTATAGGATTATAACCACCCAAAATAATTGATTGATCTTTAACTTTAATTGCCACAACACATGCTCCTTGATTATCACATTTTGCATGAAATGATTCAGCAGAAAAATCATCTCTGCTTGCCCTATATAAAAGATGCCATTCATAATGTAATTTTTGATTTTGATTTTGACTTGAAGAAGGATAAAAAGAAAAAGTAGGAGCTGATGTTAAAGATGTAAAGCGAAATGAAGGCAATATATCATCATCATCTTTTTTACTTATCCAATTTTCAATTAATATAGCATGCTTGTAAGATATAATTATTGAATCAAATGCCGGTACCCTAGGTGATAGAATTTTTGAGATTGGTTTATAAGTTGACGCAACGTAATAAGAAATTAAATCTTGTTTAAGAGTTTTTGGTAAAATCTTTCTAAAAGGATAAATATGTTGATGAAAATCATCCCGTGATATGTGAAAAAATCTAATTAGGGGAATAAAATCCGCAAGAATATCTTTTAATGATTCAAATTCTGTTGAAGTCCAATTCTTTAAATTATATTTTATTGCCATTGTTGTCGTAGACGAAGAATAAGATGAAGGTATAGGTGGTGGAAAAGAAATCCTAGTACAACCCCATTGAATTAATCTTTGCCAAATTTTAATTTCATCAATAGCAAGATCATCTCTAGTAATTAACATCAATAGAATATTTTTGTCTAGTAAATCAAAAATTCTTGGGTCGAAAATAATTTGAGGATCACGACAAATTATTTCTAAACAATGGTTGCGTAATACTTTACAAGTTTCTTGTCCTAATAATTTACGTAAAACATATAAAACATTTTCTTGTAACCACGATGATTGTTCATTAATTAAATATTCCTGTATATGCTCAATTAATTCTTCTAATATTAATTCATCTGATGCCACTAGTATTTTTATAATTTCTGTATTTTCTTGTTGTTCTAAATCAATTTCTCCTGTATATATATATCTTTAATTATGTATGAAAAAAAAATGAAAATCAATAAATATTCAAGAAAATAATAGGCATTATGGTTATAACTACGCCTACCTAATAATTATTTCAAATATTTTTGGAGAAATATTCGGTTTTTTAAAGGTAATCATTCCATCTTTTTTAATTGCCCAATGATTCGATAATGCAGAACGAAAATATAAAGATCTCGTTCCTAATAATAATGAATGTACTTTAAATTCTTTAATTTCATTTGATGTTGATTCTTCGCCTATTTGTATAATGACATCATGATTATATCCGCTCTCTAAAAGATTCTCCAAATCTTTTGACAATTTTGGATATAACTTTGAAGGTGGCATTACGAGAAAAAAAAAATTTCCTATTTTTTTTTTTGAAAGAAAAATCATTTACCAAATTCTCTGATCAGCTGATACTCAGTTGATAGTCGAACTATTTTACAAATCTCGCTCCGACCTAATATATATATAATATAATATAATATGTTTACTCGAATTTATAGATCATCTGTTAGGTGATTAAAGTTATTTACTTTCAACGTAAAAAAAAAAAAAAAAATGCCTACTGAAAAGGAGTTTGTTCGCGACAAACATATTTCGTATTTAAAGCGTGGTTTAACATTACTTCCAAAACAATATGCAAGTAATGATACAAATAGGTATTTCAGCTCAAAATAATTTTTTTTTAGAAAAAAATATTTTTTTTAATTTTTTTTTCTTGTCCTAAATATAGAATGACACTGGCTTTTTTTTGTCTTTCCGGTTTGGACCTTTTGGGCGCACTTGAAAGTGAAATTCCAGAAGAAAGAAGAAAAACATGGATAGATTGGATTTATGCGCAACAAATTTTACCCGATGAAAGGAATCCTGGTATTCAATTTAGATTTTAAGAATTATTTAATTTAAACATTAATTTACTGAAATTTTATTATATTTTAGAAATAAATGAGAAAATTTGTGGTTTCAGGGGTTCTCCATTTTCTGGTTTACCGTTTGATCCAAATGGAGTAAGTAATGCTATTTTATGAGATTTTCCGATATTCAAATTCAAGAAAAAAAATATTAAAAAAATATTATTTATTCATTAAAGTCGCGTGAATCGAGATTACCTTTTGATGCCGCAAACTTAGCAATGACTTATACTGCTTTAACTTCTTTATTAATATTAGGGGATGATTTATCGCGTGTAAATCGTTCTTCTATAATTAATTCGTTAAAATATTTGCAAAAAGATGATGGAAGGTAAAAATGTTTTTTTTTAAAAAAAATTACCATTGAGATTAGTTTAATTAATTAGTTTTCAAAATGCATGCTTAGTTTCACACAAACTTATCAGGGTATGGAATCTGATATGAGATTCTTATATTGTGCAGTTGTTATATCATATATTTTAAATGATTTTAGTGGAATCAATATTGAAAAAGCTATAGATTATATAAAAAATAGTCAGGTACATATTTAGTTGCATCCTTTTGTACAGTCTAAGTTATATTAATATAATTTTTTTTTAAAAAAAAAAAGTCATACGATTTTGGAATTGGTCAAGGTCCGGGAGAAGAATCGCATGGAGGATCAACTTATTGTGCCATAAGTTCCCTTTATATGCTAAATAAATTGGACGAGGGATTACTATCAAAAGAAAAAACCCTTTTTTGGTTAATTTCACGTCAAGAATCTGGTTTTCAAGGTAGAGCTAATAAACCACCTGATACTTGTTATTCTTTTTGGATAGGCGCATCATTAAAGGTAAATTGTCTTTTATTTTTGTATAAATAAATAATTTTTTAAATAATTTCTATTAACAGATATTGGATAAATTGGAATTAATTAATTATGAACAAAATCACAATTTTTTAATGCAAACTCAAGCCAAGTTTGGTGGATTTGCAAAATTAATTGATAATTATCCAGGTAAAAGTATTCCTCTTAATTTTTCTTTTATTTCTTTGATTTTTTATTTTTATTTTTATTTTTACTTTTACTTTTATTATTATTTTGATACTAATTAAATTAATAATGTTAAATGTTTTAAGATGTAATGCATACATATCTTGGTATTGCTGGTCTTTCTTTAATGAATGAACCAAGATTTCTAGAATTAGACCCTGCAATAAATATTTCTAAAAAAGCAAAGGAAAATCTACTAAATAATTGTGCATTTCATAAACAAAAATGATTATTTAATTGTATAATTTAAATTCGAACGTGTAAAATTATATATTTTATTTATTAAAAAAAAAGTCGGCATTGTTCATCTTATTTTATGCAACATTAAAGTGGAATTTAAACTTCGAATTTATCGAATTTTGATATAAAATGCTAAATAAAATTATGGGATGACGATCAAGCTAATAAAAAAAAACACTTCAAATATCCATGCCGTTAATTTAAAACGCAGATCAATTCTTTGTTGTTTTTTTTTAAATTCTCATCTTATCCGACCCCAAATTTTTTATTTTATACCTTTTAAAATTTTCCTTAATAACATATATTAAGGTGACGTATTTTGGATATCAGTTTAGATACATATGTAAATCATAGAATGTTTATCAACCGATCGGAAATAATATATCATATACCTGCTCTTGTTTTACTAAGAAGAAACTTTAATATAGAGCGATAAGTTCATTTATTTTAATGATTAATATGATAGTTGTTGAGAAGGATATCATGTTTTACGAGAGAACCGTCTAAAAAAAAGAAAGTAAACTATTAGAAACCGTTCATTAAGTTAAAGAAAATAGACACCAAATCTGAAAATCTACACAGAGTTTGACACCCATTAAATGTTGTTATAAGTCCTTTTTATTCATGTTTTGCCTATTAACTTGTTGAGTAGTAGCAGCTTAGTTTCAATTATTATTTTCTGAACAACACCAATTATTATTATGGGCTAACGCAGCAACGGTCTTTAACTTTATTTATTTATCCGTTTAAAATTGATATTGATTATTTATAATTTATATACAAAAGTCAAAATAAGAAAAGTCAACTCTTTCTTATAACAGATAACGAATTTTACAGCATAGCGGACATCCCTATTTTATCACTGATCATTTGTCGATCATTTGCTGATCATTTATTCAATTATCACATAATATAATACAGTTGCTAAAAAAATTTACATAAAAATATATGCTCAAATTTAACAAATAACTTAAATTTAGTTCTAATTTATTGTATATTAAATTTCATTAGAAACTTTTTAGCTTTTATTATTATTTGGCATATATTCATTCATTTTACGAAATTATTCACTAAATATGTTACTAATAAAACACCTGCATTATGAATCAGATCACTGCATTATTTTTTTTATAGATTTTACATAATATAAAGAATATTTGTGCAAAGTTTTGAATTTCGCCCATGCATACCATCAAATTTTGTCTGATGATCGGCAAAAAATTATGAATGATCACATATGAATCTGTCTCTTATACACATCTAGATGTGTATAAGAGACAGAAAAATTATGAATGATCACATATGAATAATGTGTTATAAAAATATTAAAAAATTATGCCAATAATTATATAATTAAAATTATATAATAATTCAATGCTTAGCAGTTAGCTTATATTTCCATAATTTTTTTGCCACATTATTTTGAATTATGTGATCGGCAAATGATCGGCAAGGTGATATAAGCATGTCCGCCATGCTGAATTTTACAATATAGCGGTTCTTCAGTGTGGTACAGATTTTAATATAAAAAAAAAATCATATACCGAATTTTACTAATTAAATACCGTATACCGTTTAACGAAGTAAATTTTATAAACCGTATATAAAAATGTCCCTTTTAATAACGAATTACGAAATTTTTTTCAATATAACGGAGATATTTTGTGTAACTTTCGTTTTACATTATAAAATACAATTATCATACAACAATATACCATAATATACCAATTTCCCAGGTTATACCAGATTTTCTTATCATATTAACAAATATTCCTACAATGAAGGCCTGAACAGCCTGGACACCCACTTCGTTATATTAAGAGTTGACTGCATAGCTTTCTTTTAGACATGTTAACAAATGCTCTAACAAGGGCTAATTTACTCCTAGTGACAGTCCCAAAATATTGAAGAGCTAGTATGCATACTGCAAAATGTTTTAGTTCTGTTTCAGATAAGTCTCCTTTGATAATTATTATAATAATTTGATTACTTGAAGTAACATTGATAAGTTGATTCACCTTACACTGATCCTTTTGCTGAGCGTGTAGTCACGTGATTTATAATAAGACTATCAATGGCGCGAAAATTTAAATATGAAGCCCAAGAACAAAAGTATTTTAGTTTGAATAATTATGTATTTTTTTATTATTATTTTTGTAAAGACATGTGAAAACATACCTATAGAATACAAATATATTAAATTAATTAATGATAAAATGCTTTTTGTTAAAAAAATAATATTATGTTTACCAGTAAAGAGATTCTAAACTTTCACTAAGCGATTCGCAACCTTTTTGGAACTTCTTTTGATATTTTCTCCAAAATATAATATTTAAGTCTAAATAAAAACTATACCTGGTGAACTTTCAGGTTCCAAAAGGTAAGAAAATAATATATTTTTTTTAATATTTAGTAATTTACAAATGTTTTATTAGATATGGACATTCTGAATAGCACAAAAAAATTTTTGCGCCATAATAGTCAATTAAAAGTCATGTGATTACACTCTCTCCTTAAATAATCAGTTATTGATGATTGGTTAACATTGTAATATTCATATATAGAGTTTGAAACCAAATGTACCATCCGGTTGCAAATTTAGTTTCCAACCAGTTTTTGGCAATTCAGTTTAACTTGGATAGTGGGATACCACATGTGATATAATTATATCACATGTGGTATCCCATTTACCTTAGATTATAGTACCACATGTAATCTAAATATCACATATAATCTCAATATCACATATGATCTAAATATCGCATATAATCTGAATACCACATATGATCTAAATGATGTGATTTAATTACCACATATAATCTAAATACTATGGTCTAAATACCACATATACTCTAACATTTTATTATTTCTTATATCACTTTTACATTATAGATATGTCTTTGAGTCTTTCTTGATATTCGTGTTTTTTATGTTAATATACTTTTTATTACCACAATATAATCTAATTACCATACATATATAATTTAAATACCACGCTTTTCTTCTTGTTTCTGAGTCATTTACATGCTAAATTTTATAATGCTATTGTCAACCTTCTGTAGCTATTTGAATACCTGATTTTATGTCAAGATGTTGACCTTCTGTGCCTGATTGAATGTCAAATTCTATATTAAAGTACTTACCTTTTTGTGTTTATTTGGTTGCCTTTCAAAATACCAAAGTGGTGTAAAAAAAAGGTGACAGGTAGCACAGTAAATTCGTAATTAATTTTGGCCGGTATTATACCATAATTTTGGCTGATCTTTTAGGAATGTGATTTTAAGTTCCAGCTTGGCAACACGATAGCACCATGATAGTGTCATAGAACCGTCATGGAACTGGCAGGGAAATAGAGTGGTTCTATTAGTTTGCCAGTTTCAGGCCACTTGTATGCTAGCTTGAATGCCAAGTTATTATGTCCAAAGATCTGGCCGAATTTATGGAAAAGTGCCAGTTGAAATTAAGCAAAAAATTTCTGCGCCTCTTTTTTTCAAAATGGGTATCGCGAGTAAATACGTGTTAGGAGTGTCATATGATAGTGGTCCCAAAAGGCTCAGTGACAGGTGATACTCTTAAGGTTGCTTGTCTAAACCTCTTCAAAATCCTACGATTAGTTTCGTCAAAATTTTACTATAGATTTATTATAGTTTTGGCAGAGTTTTGGCAGTTTCGGCATTTATAATAAGTTTCAGCAGTTTCGCCTTTCTCCAAAGTTTCGCCAGTTTTTTAATATAACTTTAATATAGTTTCGGCAGAATTTCGCTTTTCGGCGAAACGCCATCTTGCCTAAACCCCTAGGTTTCGGCAAGCAACCTTAGATACTCTACGCATATATAGTTAGAAGAATCATATAATAGTAATCTTAAAGGGCTCTGTGTCAAGTGATACTTCATACACATATTGTTGGGAGAATCATATGATAGTATTCCCAGAGGGCTCGGCGTTAGATGACATCCAGCACAGTATCAATTCAGAAATATTTTATTAGTTCACCCATCATGAATGCTGAATTATTGTATCCAAAAATCTGGCCGATATTATCGTTAACTTACTGCGTCTAAATTTTTGATATCACGTGGCTAGGCTCTAGTCTTCCCTTTCTGCATCTTTTGAGGAATATTTGAGTGGTATTTGGAGTTTGGGCTAATGGATCAGTTGGTTAGAGAATTGGAGATGCCAACTTCGTATCTCTTTTTGGTATGCCTCTATATTATGCGAAGGCTATATCATACCCGAGTATTTATCTTAAAATGGGGCTTCTTCCAATATTTTATATAATATTTCCAAAGATACCCCATTTAAAAGTATATATCTAGAAGCCTTTCTTTTACGATTTGTTTAATAAGTTCGTTATCGTATACATACTAGTAATAGGATAGGCAAGTGCCAATATTTATATAATAGATTACGTACTTACCTACCTAAATACACAATATATACCACATATGCCCAGATACATACCATCGAAATGAGGGTTTCTGCCAATATTTATATAATAGATTACGCAGAAGCTCCACTTTGAATTGCATATCCACTTGCCTTTTATTTACGATTTGCTTACTAGCTTACTATATGTCTTTTTTTACATTCATCAAAAAAATTAATTAAACATTTCAGAAATATATTGTGATATAATAACTTTACCTACTGTCAGCATGTATACCTCAACTATTTCCGACCAAACTGATCAAGAAACTCTCGCCCACTACGATGACGCCAGTCCTGGTGAATTCTTGAGTGAATCAGATAGCTATAATGATAATGATTCTAATTGCGGATCAGATGATTATAATAACTATGAGTCTAATTATGAGTCTGATAATGAAGAAGCTTCTTGTGCTTTAACCAGTACTACCGAAGCTGTAAAAGAACGAAAGGTTTATGTGACATATACTTTGAGGTTAGAAAACTTCAATGATAAATTTTCCCCTAAAGATTTGCTAAATGCCATTTGGGGGATTCTCTCATCATCGCCTAGAGATATATCAGACGATAAATGATCGTTGGATTGCCTCTCAATCTATTCATTCCTTTTTCTGAATGAAAAAGGCTCTAGTTTATATAATAACGCTTATGACCAAAGTGAAGTGGAAAATAAATTGGTTATAAAAATTGACCAAGATGCTGATCATGCCCCCAAATTTTCTGTTGCCGACGACATTTCTGAAGTATATGGCTTACCTGGGATTCATGAATGTATTAATGGTCAAAAACCTTTAAGAGCTGTGATTGACATAGATGCTTTGCAAGAAGATATAGAAGCAACTGGTATTAAGGCGCAAGAAGTATTCTTTTGAATCTGCTTATCTTTCTTAAGAGCTTTGTATCAAATTCTTGATTGTAGCTGGGAGGATATTCTCAATGGATTAGTAATCGCTACATCATCAGACCCTAGTAAGTGTAGCTACCATATTTTATACACACCGGTTCTTCTTATTGATCATCACAAACTCAAAGCATTTACTGAATTAGTATATACCATAACTGGTGAAAAATTTGGCAAATACATTGATAGAGAATTGCCTGGTCAAAACTTTAACCTTCGCCTTATTGGTTCAGCAAAAAAAGGTCGTGTAAAGCGTATTCTTCAATTCTCACTAGATAATGGGTGGAATACGCTTGATCACGCTAGAGTTCAACTACCTACTAGCTTAAGGCTTGAAGTAAGACCTTGAATGCTTAGTACAGAAAAAATAATAATCCGCTAAGAATATCTGTGGGACAGGATGTATTACAAAAATGTGCAAACCTAGTTTTGCAAAAGCATTCTAACTATCTTAGGAATTGGGCTATCGAAGAAAAGGACTCAGAAAACTTCGTATATTTTAATCAGAAAGCCCCACTAGAGTGTCCACTATGTAAACGTATATGTTGTGCTTTAGATTGATTCTTGTCTCAGATTAAAACTACTAATAGGATGTGACGAATTATATATATACACGTGATGATCTACATAGTAAAATTACCATATATGTAATACACATAATCTGGTGTTGATCTCACGCAACGTGAGTTTTAATCTGAGGCAAGAATCAATCTGAGGCACAACATATACATAACAAGGATCAGCGGTAGTTCAGTCGTATATATGCCAGTAATGGAATATTCATTGTAAAATGCTTCTGGCAAAATAGTGATGAACCTGGGGAAGTTTTTGAATGTGACCCATCTATCGCAGAAAAAATTCAGCAAGAAAATAAAAATTTATCTCCCGCCTCTCACAGGATAAAAGGTCCAGGTTTTCCTAAAGGCATTTATTAATATATTTTTAACTTGGGCCAGTGTACATGCAAACAACCATCCAATATAGATCCGGTTACCTTCCTTACCATTATGACTGTGTTGTAGTAAATATTGATAGTCATCCATTACGATATCTCTCATCCCTTCCTGATCCACTATTATTTTGCAAAATAACCATCTATCATCTTCTGTGATCGGGAGATGGATTTTGTTGGGTTTGAAGCCTATATACTGGAAAACTTGGTCATATATTTCGGCCATTATACCAATAAAGACTATGTTTAGATTTTCAGCTGATCGTATCTCAAGGATACGGTTTTGCCAAATTAAAATACTAATAATTATCCTAATCATCTCCGAGCATATCTAAGGCCGGGCTATATGATCAGAGGCCGGAAGAGGTCACCTCGTGACCAGATCGAATATAGGAATTGAAGTTAGCCAGTATTATTGTATGAGAAAAAATATATAAATAATATTATGCGAAGCGCCTTAACTAGTGTTCTGAACGGGTCAGGTCAATTCGGGTAACCTGTCGGATTGACCTGAAAATTTTGGGTCAGGTCATCAAATTCATGACCCGACCTGTTAATTCGTTTGACCTGACATAATATTTCTGGTCAGATGGATCAAATATGTAAAAAAAATGCCAAAATGTTTTTTTTTTGTATTATTATTAAAAAAAAATGTTTCGGCGTTTTTTCATATAAAATTATTAAAAAAAAACGCTGAAACGTTTTTTTTTTGTATTATTATTAAGAAAAAACGTTTCAGCATTTTTTCATATAAAATTATTAAAAAAAAACGCTGAAATGTTTTTTTTTATATTAATTATTATAGAAAAAACGTTTCAGCATTTTTTCATATAAAATTATTAAAAAAAACACTGAAACATTTTTTTGCATTATTATTAAGAAAAAATGTTTTGGCATTTTTTCATGTAAATTATATTAAAAAAAATGCTGAAAATGTTTTTTTTTTGTATTAGTTGTTAAGAAAAAACATTTCGGTGTTTTTTCATATAATAAATATTAAAAAAATGCCGAAACGTTACTTTTTTAACAAAAAAACGTCAAGTTTGGCGTTTTTTGTTTTTTTTTAACTAAAAAACATCAGGTTGACAAAAACCCGTGGTTTTTTTATTTTTTAATCATTTTTGATATACGGGTCAAACCGGTCGGGTCGGGTAAAACGCCAACCTGACCCGTTCAGAACACTAGCCTTAACGGCTAAGTATTCTTAGTTGAAATTGCCATATCCCGCTAAGAGTACTTATCCATATAATTCGATGATATCGTCTATATCAGCTTTAGACGAATCATCTTTTTTACCATTCCGTAATTTTGATAACGTTCGGAAGCATGTAATTTCTAAGCCAACCACTTTGTACCATATATTTCAGAAATCTGCTAGTAGCTTACACTCATCCAAATAATATGATGTTAAATATTGTTCTAAGGACATTGCTCTGTATCTTTTCTTAGTAACTAATTTATACATACTATCTCTATACTCTATATCAACTTCAGAAATTTCTTTAAACAATGATGAAAGTTTTAAGCGGATGGATTCTTCTTGCTTATCTAGTGCATTGAGAAATGATTGGTAATAAGCATTCTTAATCAGGTGTTCTCCCTTGTCAGCATAAGTAGTATCAAATAATTTTTTCACGTAAATACGTGCCTCTTCCCATAAATAAAATATGATGGTTTTATCTTTTTTCAGACCATCATGTAGGCTTTTGATATACCCCTAATCCACTTTTCAGCCAATTTCTGCGCTAAGGCATCTCTTATTTTTGATACCTTATCTTCATCCATTTCATCTTCATCCTCTTCATCTTCGTCCAGGTCATCTTCATCTATTCCACCATCATCTGCTTTATTGTCACCTGCTTTATTACCATCTTTAAACTTTTTTAAAAGCTCCAGCACAATTTCAGATGATGGCTGGAATATTTCATCATAGTTAATAAATCGTGCACAGAAGCCAACAACAGTTTTCAGATAATAGTGATATCAATCTTTTTACCTAATCGCCTCACTACCTCTGGATACTCCATTTTATCCCCTACCCTCTGGCTAGAGGCGCTTAGACATGACGAAGTATTCTCAACTACAATATACTCAAAGCGTTCTCCTAGTTCTGGGATTTCATAAAGATAAGGCTTGGTATTAGGTTCTTTTTTATGCGTCGTTTGGCATCCGCTTCTTCACAGGTGTGTCTATCTCACATTCGTGAAATGAAATGCTGGACACTCTTGTTATTTTTATCGGGCTTTCACACAGCAGTTTTAACCACTCCATTAAGATCTATCTGTGAAATATCATTTATGGTCTTTTTGAGCACGTCTTCTACAATCTGACGCAAGGTGCGAGTATTATCCAGCCTCATAGATTCTTCTATGACCTTTTTACCCACCTCACGAAAGTGTTTAGACTGCCCCCACTTTACAACCTATACTCCCTAAATGAAAAGCTTTTTATTAAAGTTCAGCTTAGAGCTCTGAATAGGTCAGGTTAGGTTAGGTTAATTGATAAACCTGACCTGAAATTTTTTTTCAGGTCAGGTCAGGTCAGGTTATATCAGGTTGTCTGTTTGACTTGACCTGACCTGAAACCTGAAAAATTTCAGGACTATTTTTATTAAAGTATTAAAAAAAACAGTACAAAACTTTTTTTTTTTTAATATAATATTATGAAAAAAAACGTTTTTGCAACTAAGGTTGCTTGCCGAAACCTAGGGGTTTAGGCAAGATGGCGTTTCGCCAAAAAGCGAAATTCTGCCGAAACTATATTAAAGTTATATTAAAAAACTGGCGAAACTTTGGAGAAAGGCG